TCAGAATGTGGTCTCCACAGGAGCCTCCGATTGGAAGGCTCCTTTGAAATCCTGGCAGGGCTGAAAGTGGACATTTATCTTCATATTATTAAAATGCCTCCACCTTTCACCTCTTGTATGAAAGAAGCCCTTTCAAGGTCACTGAATGAACCTCACATGCAGCTTTTCTAGCTGTATGTTTGACTACACATTCAACATTGAGTTATTGCATTTCTGAAAACAGGTACTCCTGTGATTTCCTGGCCTGTATTTTTAAAGAACATTTGAAAGAAGCATTGTGCTTTTCGGTTTGCAATAAGTCTTCTGCAATTCCCAGCAGACCTTTCTCCTTAAGGGTGATTGGCTTCTCTGTTTTTAGTAACGTGAGTTTACATCATACAAAGGGAGTTGGAAACCAGGCAGTGGGGCCTTTGAGCAACCAGGGTTATTTCAGTGCCACAAGTCATTTTGTGGTTAGTTGTTTTTTTCTCTCATCGTCTACAGCGGAAAGCTCACAAATGGCAGTAACAGCCTGTGGGTAATAGTTACTTACTCAGAACACCTATAAGCTGATTGTGGTGGTACTTACATACACCTTATTAATTTTAATAGTTCTGAAATTATTTAATGGTCTCCTATTTATGGTACTAGTTTTTTGCCATTTGCACTATAACACAAAATTTTCTCTTAAGTTTACTTAAGTAAAAAGATGATTTGAAGAAAAATCTTAAGTAATATTCTAAGTAGCATGTAAATTTGGAAAAAAAAAATCATCAAGGCCCTGGAATAAAGGGCTGAAGGCAAATCTGAAACACCAGCATGGTATTGTGTGACTCTTGCCTTACCTTGGGGTGCGGGTTATGATGTGCAAAATGCTTCAAAGTCTGGATCTAAGTACAGTGGGTTGTGGCAGTCCTGGCACTTAGCAGAGGTTGGGGGCAAGGGGAGTGGGTGGCATCTGAAGACCAGGTACAGTATAAGGAGAAATGTTGAACAATTCTAAGTGAGAGGAAAGACTGATTCAGCAATATTCAGGGGAATTTATAACTAAAAAAGAAAAGAAAGAAACTCACTTTCTACAAAGTCCCAGTAGCATCCTGGAAGAAAAGTTTGGAAATCCACCCTCTTTCCCTCTGTCGGGCCGCTTGTTGGAAACTAGACCTCCAGGTGTCTTGTGTGGCTTCCCCACAGGTACGCCCCCCTGGGTATCCTCTTCCTGATCGCAGGGAAGATTGTGGAGATGGAAGACATGGGGGTGATCGGGGGGCAGCTGGCCATGTATACGGTGACGGTCATCGTCGGCCTGCTCATTCATGCCGTCATCGTCCTGCCTCTCCTCTACTTCCTGGTCACCCGGAAGAACCCTTGGGTTTTCATTGGAGGGTTGCTGCAGGCGCTCATCACAGCTCTGGGAACCTCTTCAAGGTGCGTGGCTTACCCCTCTGAGAAAATGTGTCTGAAACTTGACCTTGAACCTGGGCCCCTCGTGTCGCAGGCAGGTGGAGGCATTTTGTTCTGAGTTTTAAACTTCAGGAACAATAAATAGGCCTTTTCACCTCCGATGCTGATCGTATCCATTTGGGATTCAGGGACTTTGGGGGGGACAAAATGGAAGTCAACTTTCCTTTCCTCTTTATAGTTATCCCCTTCTCCAGCTGACATCTGCCTAAGAGAGAAATGGCAGAATGACCTGGCACAGGCTGCTGGGAAGGAGGATAATCAGAAGTGATATGACAGAGGAACCCAGAAGCAGGAGAGCTGCCAAGTGATCCCATGAGGGGCCACACTGTTCCTAACCTCTCTCCCTTATTTATACAAGTGCTGACTTAGTTCCCTTTAAGTTTAGGACATGGGAGAGGAAGGAACTGTCTGTCCAAAAGACCAAACACAGACTTACTCAGAAGTACCAGAACCCTCAGCTGACATGCTCTTTGTCCTGTTCTCAGTTCTGCCACCCTGCCCATCACCTTCAAGTGCCTGGAAGAGAACAATGGTGTGGACAAACGCATCACCAGATTCGTGCTCCCTGTGGGGGCCACCATTAACATGGACGGGACCGCCCTCTATGAAGCTTTGGCTGCTATTTTCATCGCTCAAGTTAACAACTTTGACCTGAACTTTGGACAGATTATTACTATCAGGTACAGGGAGAGTTCTTCACAACATGTTCTTTGAGAATGACTTTACCAAGTGTGTTGACTCTGTGTGGCTATGAGCAAACACCTGACGAGAACAACTTAGGGAGGAAAAAGTTTATTTTGGCTCACAGTTTCAGAGGTTTAGTCCATGGTCATCCAAATCCATTGGTCTGGGCTCAAGATGAGGTGCAACATTATGATGTGAATGTATGGTGGAGGGCTGCTGCTCACCTTATGGCAGCTGGGAAGCAGAGAGACACAGCAGGAGGAAGGGGCTACAGGACAGATGAACCATTCCAGGGCATACCCCCAGTGACCCATCTCCTCTAGCCACACCTCACCTGCCTGCAGTTAACACCTCCTCTCTTCAAACTGAGATGAACTGATGAAGTTACAACTCTCACAATCCAATCATTTCATCTCCAGACATTCCTACATTAACACAGGAATTTGGGGAGTACACTTCATATGCAAGTCATAACACCAAGCCAGAGGTGGTGACACATCCCTGTAATTCCAACTACTCTGAAAGCTAAGGCAGGAAGATCACAAGTTCAAGGCCAGCCTGGGAACTAAGACCCTATCTCAAAATGAGAAACATTACAAAAGGGCTGGGGATGTAACTCAGTGGTAAAGCACCCCTCCACTCCCGGTAAACACCACTGAATAAATCCCCTATACCAAAAAGCAAAAACAAAACAAACAAAAAGAAGGACTTTAGCAGATGACAAGGTGATGAAGGTTGGTTGAGGAAACCGATTAGGAAGAAGATCCCACGTGTACCGGAGGTTGGAGATTGGAAGACTAGTTTTGTTTTTAGATTTTTATTACAGATATGTGCACTCATTAATAACAAAGTAAATAGTATAGAAGTATAGAAAGTAAAAAGTAAAGCATATGCTTTAAAATCATACGCACCACCATATCATTCCACATCTTTCTGTAAGTAACCATTATTCATGTTCAGCTTGAAAAGAACTTTTCCTTTGCATAGACACACTCACTCTTCTTTTTTGTAATTAATCATATCACATATACTGTGTGCCCCTTGATTGGTTTGCTTATCAATATGCCATTTATAAATGTATCTAGCTCATTCTTTTTAATGTCTATGGGAAACATAGTATGGATATTTCCTCTTTTTTAAAAGTCTCAAGTTTTACTTCAGCTTTAATGTATTAGTTATTATAGTCAATATTGGAAAATGAAAAACACACCTGTAAAACTAGATTGGTGTTCTTCTCTGGGGTTAGTTTTCAGGTCGTATAAAATAGATGATAGATGATGCTGACACGTAAGATTGAGAATTTTATTTTTGTGGAGAATATTTCTAACTATTATATTTGAGTTGTCTCAAGAAGGGTAATTTTCTTTCCATACCTTCCCCCAATCTTGGTTTCCTTCCACAGAGGCAACCACTGTAATTTGCCAGTTTCCCCTGTACCCTTCCAGAGACAGCCCATGCTTCTCTGTGTGTATATGCAAATACTATTCTCTCCCCCTTTGGCCTACTGCAAGTTACTAGGCAGAAGGGATTTATAAATCTAATGGCAACAGGGGGCTTTAAGCCTCCTAATCCAAGTTGGCTTCTGCTTTTCATTGTTATGGAGTTTGGCTTTAATTATTATTAACGATATGTTTGAAGATCAAAATAGGTCAGCTTTTTGCTTTTCCTTTCATAGCTTTTTATTATGAAAGTTGCCCTACGTATAGAAAAGCCAAGACAAGCATCCTTTACCTAGATATAAGAATTGTTTTTAGACACTTTGCTGCTTGTAAGAGTTTTGTGACATTTTGTAACATTTTGCTGCTTCTCTCTCTCCACCATGATAACATTTCCCCTGTATATCATTTGTCATGTATCTCCTAATTTGGAACTATTGAAATAAAAATAAGGATATTCCTCTACCTCACCACAGTAGTAAGAATCTTAAAAGTACTTTCTGAATACCCAGTCTAGCTTCAGATTTCCCCAATTGCCTTTTGTAGCTTTTTTCTCCCAGACCAAGATTAAATACAGATTTATGCCCTGCATTTGGTTTTATGTTCTCTTTTAATCTATATCAGTAACCCCACATTTGTGTTATGTTTATTTAAAAATGTTATGTTAGACTCTGTATAAATGTTTATGCCATTAGAGAAGAATTGTTGTAGGGTGCATTGGAAATAAAAGGAGGCAACCAGAGGTCAATGACTGACCTTGGGGTTCTGGGAGCTCCAGGCCCAGTCTAGCTGCACTGAGGGTAGCAGATCAGCATCTCAACGTACCTTAACCCACTGTGTTAGTCAGTATTTCATCACTGTGACAAAATAGCTAAGAAAATCAACCTCAGGGAGGAAAGATTTATTCTGGCTCAGGGTTTCAGGGTTTTAGTTCACGGTCACTGACTCCGTTATTTCTGGTCCTGCTGAGGCAGAACATTATAGTGGGGAGGGTGTGGAATAGCAAAGCTGCTCACCTTATGGCAGCAGGGAAGCAGAGAGAGAAAGTGACTGGGAAAAAAAATACACCCTTCCAGGACATGTCCCCAGTGACTTGCTTCCACCCACTAGACCCTACCCTGTGGGTTTCCACCACCTCCCAATAAGGACTTCAGTTTAGGAATCCATTAATGGATGAACACGCTGATGAGGTGTGATCCTACCACCTCCTGAAGGCCCCGTTTCTAAACATTGCAACACTAGGGACCAGGCCTTCAGCACATGAGCCTTTGGGGAATAACCATAGATCCAAACCATAACACTTATTCTTGAATTCTAGATCCAAACCATAATATCTATTCTTGAATCTACCTTGGCATGTTGGTTACATAGTTCCAAGTTAGGAAAAAAGGTTCAATTGCATGTGTTAGAGTTAAAAATAATGACAACAGTACCCGTGACTTAAACAAGACAGAAATGCATTTCTCTTTCAGCTGTGCTCCACAAAACCCTTATGGCTGGTAGGTGTTCTACAGAGTAAGGGACCAAGGCTTGGTGCCAAAGTACTTAGGGTGTTACCCTTGTCTAGGTGGTCTAGGACGGCTCATCTCCACCTCCAAATTTTAGCCAGTGGGAAGTGGGGAAGTAGCCCAGCCTCTAAGTTGATCCATCATTTCCACTTGGCCTCAGGTCCATGGGAGGCTGGAAGCGTAGTCTTCATTCTGGTTGTCCATAAACCAGCCAAAACATCTAGAACCGTAGAAAGGAGACAGTACAGGGAACCGTGATTATTTTCTGCCACAGTCTTATTATTTTACTACTACCATTTTAGATATAAGGTAATGTTTACTATATTATCACATTCTCACATCACTCTTCAAATAGACATTTGACAGACTGAGTCTCAGACAGGTAACACACTTGGCAGGTTCACACTGACACAATACACAATAAAAGTACAGTGCTACAGAACTTAGTTCACCACTCACTTTGCTTTTGAATTGGTAAATTTCTGACCACACTAGTCATTCAAGTTCACTCTTTGAACACCCCTCCACTTGGGTTGGGGACTTATTAGAACCAAATTAGTACTATAATTCTATAGCATTTTATACCTTACAAAACTCTTGTAAGGACATGAAAAAGAACATAGCCACTAGTATCTCCATTTAAAAATGGCTGTAATAGTAGGACCAGCATCAGGGGGGTTGTTGTGAGGACAAATGAGATAAGCCATCTTAGCATATGGCGACACATGGCAAGCACATGATAAATGTCGGTAGGATCATTAGCTTATTGACTCTTTTTTAGACACATTTCCATTTTTCTGAAGCATATCCTCAGCTTTTAACGTGATAAATCATGCACCGGCACCATGAGTTTTGCAGGGTACTCTCGACTGAGAGAGATTTGTGTTAAAAAAAAAAAAATGTTTTCTGTTTCAATTTTTCTTTCTACAGCATCACAGCCACAGCTGCGAGCATCGGGGCGGCTGGGATTCCTCAGGCTGGCCTGGTCACCATGGTCATTGTGCTGACATCTGTGGGCCTGCCCACTGATGACATCACACTCATCATCGCAGTGGACTGGTTCCTGTGAGTACCTGTCCACTGAGTTCCAGCTCATGTTGCAGGGCCCCACCACCACCACCACCACCACCACCGCCATTCTTTGAGGGTGCTAAGTAGCTTGGCACACCTGTCAAAAGAACTCGGATGAAGGGGGCACTTTGGCTTGGAATCAAATTGTCCTGATTGCCTGATCCCGGGCTGGGATCTGGACACCAAGCCAAGATGCCATGTGCACTGACTCCCCTATCAGACTGTGGGGCGCATCTGGCTGCTATGCTTCTCACTCCATAAAGTCATTCAGAGTTGGGAAACCTGATATTTGCAAAGCCAACATAAATCAGCAAGGCCCTTTCTGAATTGCACAACACGTCCTCACAGTGACTGGAACAAAACTGCAGGCCCCACACACTGGTTCAGGCCCTTCCTCCTTGTGCTTTCCATTCCAATGGTGTAATATAATGCAGCTGTCCCCATCTGAGTCCCCCAAAACAAGGGGTGGCCATGAAGATAGTGGGAAATGGAACTAGTGTCACTTCATGGGATTGATTTTGGGTTCTGGGGAAAGTTCCAAGCAATGTACCCTCCATAACCCTCAGACCCTAACCACCAGGGCCCATCCCTGTGCCCTCCTCCTTACCCTTCCAGCTTTCTTCTCTGCCCCTTGTTGCTCATAAGTCCACTTCCATTTTTGAAAAATTTGTCCTTGGAATACCCAAAATGAATACCTATAAGAACACAGAGGAGTACTGGCGTGAAAAATGCTGAATTCACTAGTTCCTTAGTCACTTGGATCATGTCCTGGCCCTGTCTGGCAGGCTACCCAAACCCCCAGATCTCCACCTCTGTAAAACATGGTGCTCAGGTCCTCCACCTCCTTCTGATACTGGGAGGACTGAATGCACTGGTGCATAGGAAGCCTGCAGCCTGACTCTGGCTTTTGGTCAGCACTCAGTCACTCCAGCACTTTTGTAGCATGAGGCTACTGTGCTCAGAGTTTCTTAACTTTACACTTGAAACTTTTTGAGTTTAAAACAAAAAAAAATTTATCTAAGTGGGCTCTCTCTTATCATATTAGAACAACTTAAAAATTTTTAAATTCATTTGAAAGCTATGATACTATGTACTAACATACATAATATTGCTTTGTGAGAAACAACTATTTGCAACCCAAAAATTTAGTGGGAAGAAGGGCCTATTTTTACATCTTGAAGTCTCCTTAACGTCTTATTATGAGACAGCTGGAGTCATCCCAACTGCTTCTGCCCCCAGCGTGTTTTGACATCACGTGGCAGGTAGTCTGTAAAACTCCACTACGAGTTCATAAGAATGTGAGAGTGAAAGTGACAAGTCACGTTCTGGTGTTGTATGAAAGGGACAAGTCACGTTCTAGTGTTGTTATAGAATACTTTTGACCTCGGGGACCCTCAGGGGTCTCAGGGCCACATTTTGAGAACTGCTGGCATAATGGAAGGTAAATCAGAGGAAAGAGAAATTTTAAATAAAAGGAGAAAGAGAGAGGCTGGGATTGTGGCTCAGTAGTAGAGCACTTGCCTAGCATGGGTGAGGACCTGGGTTCGATCCTCAGCACCACATTAAAAAAAAAGAAGAATAATCAAATAAGAAGTTACTTTTAAAAAGGAGAAAGAGAGGGGTTCTTCCTCACTGCTGAGACTGTAGCCATAGCCAGCTAGTCACTGGACACTGATGGACTATGTGTTTTTACAACTTTTATAGCTACTATGTCCAGAATGTGACTGTGCAGTTGGTAGACACGCCCCCTGGATTTTAAGAGAGCCTTTTCTGTAGACTTCCCAGGAGAGTTCCCGGTAGAAGTTGAGCTCTCGTGATGCTCACAGAAGCCTCCTCTCCTTCCTTCCCCCTCCACCCACAGGGACCGCCTCCGGACCACCACCAACGTGCTGGGTGACTCCCTGGGAGCTGGAATTGTTGAGCACTTGTCAAGACATGAGCTGAAGAACCAAGATGTTGAAATGGGTAACTCAGTGATCGAAGAGAATGAAATGAAGAAACCATACCAGCTGATTGCCCAGGACAATGACACTGAGAAACCCATCGACAGTGAAAGCAAGATGTAGACTAACACCGAGAAATGCAGTCTTGAGCATCAGGTGTTTGCAAACTGTTAAGAACCGTGTCCATCTCATCATAGCTCATTCTCTTGGGTGAGCGCTTTCCCTCCTTTCTCCTCCCTACTCTGCTAGGATTGGAAACTATTCATCCAAAAACATGGGAGGATTTTGCAGTGGCCCAAATGAATAATTTTCATTTTCATCCCATACTTGAAAATTTAAAATCATTTTATCTTTGTCTTCCCTAATAAGGAACTGGGATCAAAAACAGTCTTGATCAGATCTTACCAAGGAATGTGGCATATCGTCCTATAAATGTGATGGCCCTAGAAGTACCCGAATAAGGTACTGGGATCAAACAAATAGTGAGCTAAAATCATTTTAAGTCAACTTGCAAATTTTAAAAAGACATTTTGACTTTTAGTCTCAAAACGTTAATAACTTGATGAGCAGCAATCAGTTGTGGCTTGGACAGTGGAAGGGCTTTTTCCCCCTTTCTCTTCTGACTTGCATCCTCACTTTAGTAGTAGCAGGACAACCTACATCACACAGAGCACAGCTGTGAGGAGGAACAGAAAGTGAAGTTGCTGTGTGGCCTTGAGCAAGTCACAGCTCATCTCTAGGGCCAAGTGTCCTCACCTATAAAATAGGTGACTCCCCTAGATGCCTTTACAGTTCCTCCAGCCCACACCGCCTGTGACATCATGAAAGAACCTGACTTCTATTTCCCCTTGGAATATCCTGCACCAGGTTCCATTCCATGGAGCATGGAGCTCTCAGAAAGGACACTTCATGGGAGAGAACATTTCTATGTAGGGTCAGAATGGCGTGTGGTTCACCTAGTCCTTGGTCTAAGATGTCAGTTACACAAGTCACCAGGTAGGATGGCCATTCCAGGAGCAGGATTATTCATGAAACCATTTGCCTAGTTGTTTCCAACAGCGGAAGTATCCCTTCTCTTCTACTCTTCCCAAACAGAAGGGACTCCACTGGAAAGGATGTCTCCCACCACAGAACAGACTCTTAGAACACAAACAGAAGAGTAGTTACTAGCAACAGTGTTCTTGTGGTCTTACTAAAGAACACTAAAGAGCTAGGAAAGGACGGAGCATGGTTGACACTATAAAGAGGATTTTTAACACACCAAGAGTATAGTTTCCTTTTCGGAAGAATAAAAAAGAAGAGCTTCATTTTGATTTTTGTTTTGTTTTGTTTTTTTGCCTGAAAAATTTTTTTCTCTTCAGTTCCAAATCATTTCCCAAAGAAGGGTATACACACAAAAAAAAAAAAAAAGAAAAGTGACTTCTTACAAATATTAAAGAAGTCAAATGAGCTCATGAGTGTGGGTCCATGAGCTGGGTGGTCTCTCATCTGAAAATTTTAATCAGAAGTTCTTAGAAGTAGGTAAGCAAGATACTTCTTTGTGTTGGGATTGCACTTGCCAAATCATTCATAGCTTTCCCCTTGGAGTGGGGATTGCTTTAGTTTTGTTTGTGTCCCTAGGAGAGATGGTAGAAGATGAATCGGTGTGAATAATGTCAATGAGGTCGCAAGAAAAGGGAGCAGGAGCTTTAGTTTCTGGCAAGGCAGCTCCCAGGTTTAGAGGTGATTAATTTTTACCCCCTAAGGAATATCCAGTCAAAGACACTCAGTGGGAGCTGTCAGACAGTACCAGCTGTGTTGGAGTTTCCGACAGAAAATGATGAAGAATGGACTTAATTACGCTAACCAACTGAAAATCTAGACAGACATCCTCTGATATACAATTAGAGATTTTTATAGAGATCCCAAGCATTCTGCACATATAAAAGTTAACATTAGGCTGTGGTGGAGTAAAGCATTTAATGTCAAGGTTCTATTTGAAAAATACACTACAAAAAGTTAATGTACACGGCTGTCATCTTATGACACTAGTAGAGCAAAAATTAATCACGTCAGATTAATTCTGTTATACCGTGTGATGTTTTTTATATACTAACCATTTCTTATGAAAGCAGGTCCCCTAGAGTGATTCTCTTGCCAGCCCATCACAGGCTCTGCATATCCATGCACCCGGTATGGAATGGGAAGCATGACTTTGTAGGAGTATTTTCAATAAAGAAAAAATAGTTTTACATTAATATCTTTGCATGTTGTTTTCATTCTTTTCCCCCAAGGAAAATTAATTTTCCACTCATGAAACTTGTTGTGAGCTCAGGGGGTGCTGGGTATGGATGCCACGTGGTGAAATCTTGATGCAAACAGCCAAGGAGACGACCACAAGGAAATGAGCAAGAACAGGTTCTCCTGCTCACCTCCTAAAGCGGGAGGTGGAAACAAGAGGAGGTGAAGGGAACGCTTTGCTGTAACATCCTGCACTTACTTGTCCAGGTCAGATTCAGATTTCTCAGACATCCTGCACTTACTTGTCCAGGTCAGATTCAGATTTCTCAGATAAATGGAATTATTTCCATGTTAGGATTAGAAAAGCGCAATGCCACCGTGGAGCTCTTCCCAAAAAGTGACATCCTGCTCAGCCTTCAAATTAGGGAGATCCATCTCTCTGATTTCTAGAACCATTTGTGAAAAGAACTAAGTAAAATCTGAAGGGGTGTTTGAAACAGCCAGGATACTAGCGAGCCATGATATTCATTCAGAACAACTTCGGACAACTACGTTTCCATGCTTTTTAGTAAAGAATTGACAGGCCATGGGGCACAGTGGCACTCACCTGCAATCCCGGCAGCTCAGGAGAGTGGGTATCGCAAGTTCAAGGCCAGCTTTAGCAATTTATCAAGGCACAAAGCAATGTAACAAAACCCTGTCTCTAAATAGAAACATTAAGACCTGGAGGTGTGGCTCAGTGGTTTAGTGCCCCTGGGTTCAATCCAGGAAGGAAGGAAGGAAGGAAGGAAGGAAGGAAGGAAGGAAGGAAGGGAG